TCATAATTTGAGTTGTATAGGATTGCAATGAATTTAGTTGGAGACAACTCAGACCAGAGAGCTGCTGATCATATTTGAATCCTTTTTAAAGTAACCTGTGAAGGTTTTATAAAGTGTATAAACATATGCTTGTGTGTGTTTAGAGATATATCAGTTTCAACAGGCTGCTGCAGCGCACGGGATACACATAGTTTCCGGTGCTTTATAATAACTCCACAACAACCAACTTTTTCTCATACTCATATTTCACAACAGCCTTTTTCTTCATGTACATGAATCCATTTTCAAACGATATTTCTCGTACATCAAACTGGAAGAAGCCCCTAACCATGGATGGAAAGCTAAATTTAAATGCTCCACTCTTGTCGATCAAACGTCCTGGAGGTTACATTGCTGAGGAGATGCCATCAGTAGTTGCTTCCAGTGATCTTCAAAGCAACAGGATTCCGTTTTGCTGGGAACAAGCTCCGGGAAGACCCAAAAACTCAGAGAGCTGCAACACAAATATTCTTGAGCATGAATCTGAGACGCCTCGTCCAAAGCTTCCACCAGGCAGAACATGGCATCCTCCACCAATACCTCTTCATCATCATCAAGTCCGTGTCCATGATCACGATGACGGCTGTGATGCTGACATTGAAGACGACGAAGACGATGACCAAGCTTTTTTCTCTGATGCCATGGAGGTGTTGTCCCTGACAGAGGCCATAGACATTGCTGAAAAGGCAGATAAAGCGCGTGTGTGGAATTCAAAAAGTACTGATGACTTAGATGGGTTAACTTTAGAGAGTGTTGAGCATAGTGGCAGCCTGTCTCCAAGTTATATTATTGAACGTTTTCTTCCAGATGCTGCTGCATTAGCCACATATTCAGCTCTATCTGTTTCGAACAACTGGAATCCGAAGCTTCCATACATGTGCAGTTATGATCCAGAGAGTGGTGCAGATGGGCATTCGTATTCTTCTTCTTCCTTGAAGGGTTGTGGTCTGCAAATGTTTTTGCCATGGCGGATGAAGCACAAGATATGTGGTGTCAAAAGCCCTGTTAGGAAGAAAAACTCTGCCATTCTGCAACGTTCCAAACAAAGAAACAAACATTAAAAGCTCCTTTTGGAGAACAAACAATAAAAAGGTTTCTATGTATATATACTGCATGAAATATTATAGAAATCAACATTCATACACTCAATTTCTTAGCTACCAGTTTTTAGCTTTGACAAGTATATAATATATATATATATATAAATTTGATTTCATAACCATATAATCTGTTGCAAGTGCGAAATTATTTTTAATTTAAATGCATTACAATATTCGGATTACAAAATGAAATTATGTAACTAGAAGCAAGAAGAGGGGAAACGATGATAAGGAAAAGGATATTGTATCAAAACACTACTTGCATTAATTGAAACAGAGCATACTAAAGAAAATAATCATATAAGACCCTTATTAAGGCATAAGGGTCGTTTTTATTAAATGTATACATACATATATATATATATATATATACACATATCCAGTACCAAATTATTTTTTTATTTTTGTTTTGAGATAATAGCTTCTCATGCTAATATTAACAGACCCGGAAAGGAAAATCTTGTCAAGTAATGGAACCAAAAAAGATGAAGGTCCCAAAGAATATAACATCAAATCAAGGCATAAAAGGTCTCACTAATTAAGGGATGGGCTACTGATTACATTATTTAGGAATCCAATATGATGATAAAGACAAAAATCTACAAAAAGACAAAACGTGATCAATTACAAATCCTAAACCGGATTTCTCCCAGCTACATGACTGTAAAAGATGAAAGATTCGTTGAGCATCTCCCTCAACCATTATATGTCTTATCCCATTAAATATTAAATAAAGAAAATATTAATCCATTTTCCTTGTTTTATTCCCATAAGTGATTGCTAGACACATCAAGCATACTATTTTATCAAATTACTTCTCCCTGCATAGAAACTATCAGGACCCGATTACTGTCTTCTTCAAATTCGTTACTTCTTGTTTTTGCAGGGAAATACTAACAGTAAAGGTTGCAGCTTCACGTTCCTTCCCACCCAACCTGAAGAACTATCATGCAAGTAATTCATCTAAAATGATTCAGTAGTTCAGTTCCTTGAAGATGAGCACCTCTAAAACTGCCCCTTAAATTGGGTGATCAATAACATTCACAGCTTAAAGAGAAATTTCCACTTCCCCCAGACACCACAAATATTCACACTCAGCATCATAATGGTCCAATAAGCCAAATTATCATCATGAGAGTAATCATTGTACATTTCATCTTCATGTATTAACTCATGAGGTTCTGAATATATACCCTGCAAACTCTCATCTTCTGATTCTTCAGATGCCTCACTTTTCTCTCCCTCTTCCTCTTCAGACATCCCCTGTGGATAATAATTTCTTGAATTATCATCCGCTGGTGCCCGCCAACAAGACCGAGAAAGAAGTCAAATAATTTGCCACTACTATTTAGGCATAAAAAACAAATAATTTGCTTAGAATACCATCCGAATCCTTGCTACATATTCTGAATCGTCAGAGCAATTGGAGAAATCATCATCCTCAGCTTGTACCCTAGAAAAAAAATATCAATCACTTTTTCTGTTTTATAGTCATCCCAGGATGTAGAAAGAAACTGACCCTTAAAGCGGAAATGAAGTAGAAGCGTCCTCATTTTCTATGCTCAAATCCATCACAGTATAATAATCAAATACATGTTCACCTGCACTTAGCATATAAGACAGTAATTTATCATACATCAGTTAGAATATTAATTATGGTAATCAACAACAGATGAGTATAAATTGTAATAGTCTTTACTTGGCACATCTTAATGCACAACCTTGTCTATAGTTGTGAGCTTGGATATCAGATTCAATCTCTTCAGCTGAATTTTGAGTAAACCCTCTCAGGAGAAGCAGGTAATATACAGGATTCTTTGATACTCCAAAGACATATCTCTGCATTAACACAAGTGGAACTAAGTAATCTTTTTACAATTTCTAGATAGGTTACACCTTGTTCTGCAAATATGAGATAAACGAATTTCATTTTGATGAGTTGCTAAAGCTTATTATTGTGCTTGGATTTTTTTAAAACTTTCTTCAACACCAATTTTCAGGCATCATAAAAACAATACGTTTTATGAAGAACACCTTCTCTTTGTTCCACTTTCTGATCTCCATATCTGCTCAAAACGAGCATGTTGTGCCAATACCTAAGGGAAAAAAATTACTTCTAATGAAATAACAACTGCACATTAGGATTCCAACCCTATTTCTGCTTAGGAGTACTTCAGATGTATAAAGTTGTAAAAGCACAGAAAAAAAAATTTCTTTACTCATAAAATAAAAAAGTCCTCACAGTAACATAAGAACTTTGTGGCGCTAAGCTAGGAATTTTCTCTCTAGCAACAGCGAAACAAATGCCAAGTCAAGAAGGGGTAAATAGTCACATACGCAAACAAAGTCTTTCTCTCCATAATGTTGAGTATTTTAAATACAAATAGATGTTACGTTGATGATCTACTCTCTGCATAGATGAATGAAAAATCATTTTGTAACAAAAAGCATAATCATATTTTTGAGGCGTGGTCCACATGGATATTTAAAAGACTTTTAAGTATCTTAAAACATAGTAACACAAAATGGATCCTCTCCACTAGTCAATTGATTTTGTAAACACTCTTGTTTGGTTTATATATAATGGATCCTGTAATCAGCTAAAAAGAGCTTTTTAAATTGGTGTCCTCCAACATTTGACAACAAGCAGCTTGAAAGCCAAAATGAATAGATCATTTTCCAATATGATCTTTTAGCATAATTTCATTTCAAACCTATGATATCATATCATTGTCTGCCAAGCAGAAGGGAGATGCCTCTGTAAATGGATAAACAGGAATTTCCCATACTCCTAAGCAAATGTTCAAACTTCAGTATACAATATACCTTCTGTAGTTTTCTGGCTTTACACAAAAGCAGGCCTTGTCGCTGTGGACATATGATGGACCCAAAAGCGTGTTAGAATAAGCACTGGTGAATTATTTGCGGACAGCTAGAATAGGAAGGAGAAGGAGCTTTCCTCATCCTTTCTTTTACCTTCAGCTGCATCCAAAGAGGTACACTGACAAAGATAATCCTTGAGATTTAACAGAAAATTCAAAAGGAAACAGACATTAACGACGATATGAAGTGTTCATGGTTACCCGCCACAAATTGTTCCAGAACATCAATAGTAGCCTCAGAGATTCTAACAGTCTCCACATGTCGCACCAGGATTTTCTTAGTTCTCAATTGTCGATACAGAGTAAGCAGTTAATCAAAATCAAAACCCAGGAAAACTTCTAAGGGAGGAAAAAACGAAACTGAGCAAATTCAGAATCAAAATCCACTTCTAACTAAACCGGAAGTTGATAGCTCTTCAGAATCCAAAAACGCTAGCTTTAAAGGCCTCTCATTGATTTCCAGCCCTACAACACATATCAAAATTTTCTTTCAGAAGAAAATTAAAATTTTTTCTTTTCGCTGAACGGAAAGCAAACGAAGTAAGGGGGAGACAAGGTAACTCACAGAAAACATCGAGGGGAGACTGTGATTGCTTTACGTTTAATCTTAACAATGACTGGCTTGTAGCTCCCGGTTTCTGACACCAAAGAAGAGCTCTCACCTGTAGTCTCCATTAACTACGGTCTCCAAATCATTGGGTTTAGGGTTTGTCATTTCTGGTTATTTTCATGAAGGTGTCAAGTGTTAACAGAAACTCTTGATTTATTTTTTTGTTAATATTAAAAAAAAAAAATCTTTAATCATTGTCTTTTGATATCTAATGCACCTTCTCGTTTTTTTTAATGGCCGAAAAAGTACTAAAGGGGATTTAAATTATTTAAATTAAATAATTTTAAAAAAAAAATGAGTTATATTGTTAAACAGAATATGAATTAAAAATAAATAATTATGTTTGTAAAAAAAATTAATATAATATATATTTAGACTGTACATATTGTTAATTTTAAATCAATAATATAAGAATAGCAATAGCCTGTCATTGAGAAATAAAAAAATAAATTGATAATAGATTCAAAATTAAGGAAAACTTGGACTTAGTGAGTGTATCTTTCTCTGGGTTGTCTCCATAACCATTTCTCCTGTTTTTTCTTTTCTAGCGTGTTATTTTTCTCCTACACTTACATCTTGCCTCCCCTCAGCTTACTCCCCTTTAAGTCGACTCCAACTTGTCTTTTTTCTTGGTCTTATACTTTCCTCCATGTCTTCTCCCCTGCCTTTGTTTTTCCCTAGTCCAAAGAGCCTCTCTCAACATCTGTTAGTCGTGATGACATCCCATGAAAATTTAGATATCATTATTCATCAAGCCAACCATCTAGCATCTATAGACATAAATTTGATCATGGACCAAGACACCACTTAAAATAAATTGTCTAGCACCTCAATAAGGAATGTCCTCTCCCTTATATTATTTTCCCATAAGTTAACACATAAATTTTGCATAATATTTAAAAGACTAATCATATTATTAGGATTCATGGCTCACAACTTAACCTCTTCCTTTTTCGCATTACTGATTTAGCCTTTAAAGACAATAGTCTTAAAAGAGGTATTTAGCATATTTATGGTAAATCCCCCTTTCTCAAAGCTTCTTCCCACCAAACTAATTTAAAAACCTTGGATCTCACTATAGGCCTTCTCCAAGTTTGGGTTAAAGGTTTACCCCTAGGTATGATAAATGAACAAAATGCCTCCCAATTGTTCATTAGTTCGGTCTAGTAAAGAATACTGAAATTACTAGGGAAATAGGTTGTTAGTCCGATTATCTACGAGTTTAAGCTACATTTGACTTTGATAGTCACCTACTCCTAAATTTGTTTCTTACCTTAGATATTGGGGAGGATTATGGTCTTATTTCGAGTATGAGATAATTTATAAGTTCTACTACAAGTTTAGATATATTTTCCATACTTCACCTAACTACCATATCATCAAAACAAGTATTGTCATATCTCCTAAATGCATGTTTCTGAAGCCTTTCCGTATATGAAACAAGATAAAACACTAACTCTCCTTATTCCATGCAAGCTTAGGTCGAAGAATCCGTCCTATACCAAACCTTCCTCACATCATCCTATGAGTCAACCCATGAGCTCTTTCACATGCTCCCTACACCTTATTGCCATCCCAACCCTTTTCAACCTATAAAACTTATTTCACTTATTCTTTATTTATTGACTCATCAATCATTTCTCCAAAGTTTTCTTACAGACCCATAATGTTTTCCACGTTGCTGAAAGGAAAAGAGGGGTAACTCACACTAAGATCCCATGACAAAGATGATTACAAGCAAATAGCCAAAAGAGTCCTCTTAATCATAGAATCTCGAGTATTTCACATAGGGAAGTCGCCTACTCTTTTTAGGAGAGTCATAATTGGACACTCATATCTTATAGAGCATATTAATCATGTGAATAATAAGAGTCTTAAAAGTCTTGGACACTTGATTATTTATTCTTCCATAATTTTAGTCGAACACAACTCTCATCGTGAATGGTTTTCAACTTCAAGAAAATCTCTTAAGGATTCAAGAATTTTATCCTACCAAGTAAGGATGATATAATTAAATTTTATAGATATTTTTTTATTTCATTTAAGGATTTTAAATTATTCGTGAAACTTTTTAGGAATGATTTTGGGACATGGAAGTAAATTGGTGTGGATTAGAGCAAGATTTGAGCCAAAAAAAATTGAAACATGAAGATATCGGAGACATGGTTATAACACACGACTATATGTTAAGAAGCTAGCATTTCTGCTTTTGAGGAAGAGTGAGACACGATCATGTGCCTTTTACTGGGCTAAGACACGACCAGAAGTGCACAACTGTATGTTATCAGCAAAATGCTTCAGCTTCTTTTGGTGAAAGAGACACGGCCATATTGTGGTTACAAGCTAGAAATTGACGTGATTCTGAGGAAGACAAGTCATGTGTCATTTTGACATGGCCATGGGATGTGCCATACCAGATTTGGACTTTGTAATTAATTATATTTTAAACGATTTAAACATGGGGTTATCTATAAATTAAAAAGGAGAGAGGAGAAGAAAAAAGAAAAAAAAAATGGTTGCAAAGAGCAAGTGCCTTTCTTCTAGGGTTTATTTTATATATTTTTTTAGATTTGATTCTTACATTTTGTTTATAATGAGTAGCTAAACTCTTTTATTGGGATCTTTGATGAAATCCTAAGGGATACTTTATTATTTCATTATTTACTCTAAGAAATTTTTTTTTTCTCTAATTCTTATGTGTTATCTTGTGGTTTAATGTATAAATAGATTGATCACCTATTTATTAATTTATAATAAATGATTGAATTGAGAGATTGATTATTTGTTAAAATATCAAGTTAGCACAATAGATTAAATGTGAGTAAAAATACTTGACATGATTTATATATTTGGTGATTTAATATAATGAACCGATTCATACTAATCCATAGAGATGTGTGTGTTATTATGAATTAAATAGGGTAATTGATATTAAAAAAGAGATTACTACATGATTGAATGAAATAGGGTGAAAGTTTCTTGTTATAGATTGAATTAAGGAAATTTATAGTTGCACTTAGGGTGGAAAATTTATAGTTTCTTGTTAACAGTCATTACATCTCGATTGTTAATCAATTTTAATTCATTGCTTTCTTAGTTAAGCATTAGTTTATATTCATTCTCTTAATCGTTAGCTAAATAATATTAATCGATTGATATTCTAGTATTTGTTATATTAGTCTTCATGGGACGATATCCGAATTCACTGCTGTAGTACGTGTTCGAACTAGTGCACTTGATATCACATCATAAATTTTTAGCACCGTTGCTGGGGACTAATACTAGTAATATTAGAATAGGCTAATTATTATTAATTTGATATTTTTTTACTTTGTTTTGTTTTGTTTAACTATTCGCAGTTGATTTTGTAGTGTATGATTAGAAGCAGTGAATACCTATTGAATTTTTATCCAGAAATTGATAGAACTTGCCACAAACTGCGAGCACACACAAGGAATAAACGACTCCCCTATCATGTTAGAAATTTGTTGAGAAGAGGAAGAACAACAATGGCTGATGAACATGAGAAGCAAAGAAAGCACACAATGATGGATTATACTACTTCATCTCTTACTAGAATCGAACCAAATATCACATAACCGGTTGTAGCAACTAACAATTTTGAGATTAAGCCAGCCACCATCCAAATGATTCAACTTAGCGTATAATTTTCTAGGTTCCTAGCTAAAGATTCTAATGAGCATATTACTAATTTTTTTGAAGATTTACAACACTTTCAAATACAATGGAGTGAGAAATGATGCAATCAGGTTGAGATTCTTCTTTTTCTTATTGAAAGATAGAGCTAAGGCTTAGTTGAATTCGTTACCAGCTGGTTCCATCAATACTTGAAATGACATGGCTCAACACTTTTTAGCAAAGTACTTTCCACCTTTAAAGACAGCTAGGTTGAGGAAATGACACCACCACCTTTGCACAAATAGATGGAGAATCATTGTATGAGCCTTGGGATCACTATAGGGATTTACTAGCAGAGTTCTTCACAATGGTCTACCTATGTGGCTTCAAGTAC